TGAAAGTGTGTAATTGCATTGATTTATGTCATTTAACAGATTAACAGAGTTGGAAGGGACCTTATAGGTCATCTAGTCCATCTCCCTGCTCAAGCAGGAGACCCTTCACCAATGGCTGTCCTATCTCTTCTTGAAAGTCTCAAGTGATGAAGCTCCCACAACATCCAAAGAAAAGCTGTTCCATCGGTTGATTGTTCTCACTGTCAGAACGTTCCTTCTTATTTCTAGGTTGAATCTGCCCTTGGCCAGTTCCCATCCATTATTCCTTGTCTGACCTTCAGCTGCTTTGGAAAATAGCTTGACCCCCTCAAATATTGGAACACTGCTATTGTGTCTCCCCTAGTCCTTCTCTTTACCAGACTAGCCATGCCCACTTCCTGTAACCATTCTTCATATGTTTTAGTTTCCAGTCCCCTAATCATCCTGGTTGTTCTTCTCTGCACTCTTTCTGAAGTCTCAACATCTTTTTTATAGTGTGGTGACCAAAACAGGATGCAGTATTCTAGGTGTGGTGTTACTAAGGCTTTATAGAGTAGTATTAGTCTTTGTATGATGGCATTGCTAGGCAGATGATATACATTGACACAAATGACATAATTTGCTTTTTTTTTTTTTAGGAAAGAAGAAGAAAAAGGATAAGAAGAAGAAAAAGAAAAAGAATTTAATGGAACAAGCGCAGAAGCAGCACAGTTTCTTACTAGCTACAGACCAAGCTAGTCAATAGAGACATTTGCCCAGGGCCTGTTGATACACGTGGGTTGTTTTTTTTAAAATAGTTTATATCTTGTTTTTGTTTGTTTTGCAAAACACACAGAAGCTGCTATTAGCTCCTGCATGAGGCAGCACTGCGATTCAGCTGCTCTGACAGCCTTTGGACCTGGGGAAAGGGAGGAGAACGTCCACAAGCTTGTTTGTGTCTGTTATTTATACTTTTACAATTTAATGTGGTTCTTATTGTTCTCATTGTTCCCCAAACATGGTCTCTCTCCAGGACTGAAGAAAAGCACTGAGTTCAATCAGTGGAAGTATGTCCAAAAAAAAAAAAACTTTGTTTGAGGGTTCCCTCTCCCCTTTTTTGGTTAAATGTAGTGCCTACAAGGAGGAAGGAATTTGACTTCATGGCACAGGACTTTTGGAGAGAGGAACATCAGGACTGCATGGCGCCATGAGATAAGTCCCTATTTCTTCAAGGCAAAGAAATTGAGAAGTTAGAATTGCATATTGTTTCTCATACTGTACATTTTCAAGACTGAAGGACACCAAGAAGATATCTGTAGGTAACACACTTGGTCCTCATCACACCTGCTATAACTGGAACAGCTGTATAGTCAAACTGCTCTTGACTGATATATGAAATTATGGCTTAGTATTTCAGGAGCATAGTGGTTCCCATGTGTACATATCATGCTGTCTACATATAAATAAACCTATTTACATTAGAGGTTGGGTCTGTTTTCCATGTGTGCAGTTCATCATTTGAACACATAAAGATGAGTGCTCAAAATGAAATATAATAACTACCCTTTATACAAATCTGTCCAAGCCAGCTTTGACTAATGACAGCCTGACAACATATCTTGCTCTTGTGAAGTTTAGTGTTTTCCTGGCAGGGCAAACCTATCTCTGAAATCTTTCCTTCAAAGACTATCTGCTGGTTATGATCAAGTGATGGCATTCCATTCAAAAACAAAAACCACTTTCTAGAGTTGAACCAAGCCATATTTTTCAATGAAATCCTGGCATTCTGGGTTTTTTTTTAAATAGAGAAATAAAGAAATATGGTTTAAGAAAAAGAATTAAAAGGTAAATAAGTTCAGTGTTGTCATTTGGGAATAAACTTGCAGAAACTGTAAGGAGACCCCTATATCCTCCAAATGATGTGGAACTATAAATGATAATGAAGATGATAATGTTGAAGATGCTGATGATATCCATTCAGCTGTGTCTAATGCTTGGAGATTCTGTGGACACAGTCTCTTCATAATTTCTGATCTTGCACTATTTCTTTGAGTTGTTCTATGCTCTGGCTGTTGTCAGCTTTGATGGTGTCCAACCATGTTCTTTGGTTGCCTGGTTTCTTTTCACCGCTAACTCTTTCAAGTATAATTGCTTTCCCCACATGACATGGCTAAAACATGAGCCATAAATATCCACGTGTACTCATTGTTCCCGTTGGCTACTTCATTTGGGAACTGGAATGGAATCACACTGGAAAGTTTCCTGCCTCTTCTATAAGATCAGTAAGAGGCAGCATATGTAAGGTGACCAGATGTCCCGCTTTTGGCAGGACAGTCACGCTTTTGAACAATTTGTCCCGCGTCCCACGGCATTTTTAAAAAGTCCTGATTTTTAGATGGGCTTTGCAATACTCGTAATGAGGGTGTTTACCTGGGGT